GAGGATTTTCACCGGCTGTTCCTTTTTCGCCCCCCCCCCGCTTCAGCAAGTTCTGGATTTTTTAAAATTATAGTTTGTACAACTTACTTAACCCAATCACCTAAACCCTGTTAAATTTAGCTAGCCTTGAATTGGATTGTTAACCTTGATTAGGTTTTCTTTAGTGTGTGGTATGACTCCAACTTGTTTGGTTAGTTTGGAATTCAATGCCTTGTACAAACCCACATAGTGATCCACATGTTGTGTGAATGAAACCTATGTTAAGCTTTTTCTAATATTACAGAATTGTAGATGATTAGGTTGCAAGAGATCCTGGAGATCATCTTATCTTACTGTCTGCCCAGTGCAGGAATCCACTAATACTGCAAGCCTAGCAGATAGTCATCCAGTATTTGTTTAAACACCTTCAGTGAAGGTTTATACAACTGTTTTTGTAGTCTTCCTTGAAATGGCAGGGAATTTTAGCTGAAGGGAACACCAGCAACCCTCAATCTGTGGGTTGTGATTACAGGGGGTTTGGGTATCCCGGAGCTACAAGTTACATAGTCTTGTTTCAGTTGGAATTGATGTCACTCCATGGAGAAGGTCTTCCCTACAACAAAAGAGGAAAATGTTGAACCTTGCTTTCTATATCTTTAAGGGATGTGTGTATAAATGCATATATGCCAACTTCATACTGACAGGTCTTAAAGTCTGAGTATCACAATCAAATACTAAAAATAGCAAATGAAAAGAAATCCTGATACGGTTAGTACTTAATGCTATGGCATTCATAGAAATGGAACATTAGCTTCTAATGGAACATTTTTCTCTTCCAGCCACCAATGGGAATTTGTGGTAAAATTGGATTCTGTGATTCTACAGAATCAAAGCCTTTTCATCCTTTGAGGCCAGCTGACCACCTTTCAGACTTGTATGAAGCAGCAGTGTCGAATAAGGTAAAAAAAAAAAAAAAGCAGAGTCTTCTGCTGCAGAAGGACAGAAGCTGATAACATTGTCCAAGCAAGCCATAGGACAATTGGTATTGCTGAGGTTTACTCAAAACCAAAACAAGGTTTTGGCAAGTAGAATGTGAAACCCTTCCTTAGACAAAACTGAAGAGGCATTTCAAGGGGAACAAAATGAGCCTAGCCGTAAGAGCACAGAAGGTGAAACAACTAAGAGGTTCAGTAGAAGATAAGGAAAAAAAAAAAAAAATCTCTGAGAGCTGGGGTGAAGAGCTGGAAAATCCAGACAACTACTAAATGGCAGCAAAAAGATACAGAAACTGACTCTTTGTTTCTATCTAGTAGTTGTCCATATTTGTGCAGGCCAAATATGGTAGGTAGCACCTTCTTAATGATGGCCTTTCCAAAGGACATCTTTAGGCGTCTCTGGCTTCTGCTGACTTTGCCATAAGCAGATGATGAATTGAGAAGGCCCTGAAAATTTAAGAAGCACAATCTAACTATCATTTGAAGATCTTTAGCAGAGGAGAATTAAACTGTAATTCCTTCAAACCACTAGCTTTTCTCAGACTAGTTTGAGAAGTAAAAAAAGCCAGCTGAAGCAAAATCAGTTCTTTCTGTCACAGAGATGATCTCAGCCAACATTGCAAGGGACACAATGAATTAAATAATTTCACTGCAATTGGATTTGATGATGTAGTGATATTCCTGAGGGCAATGAAAATTTAGTATGAGAGCAATGCTTCCTGGTTGTGCCTGTTTTACTTTTGCTTATCCCTAATGAACATGATTTTACTACATTTGTTTTGTTTGATTTTCTTTTTCTCTTTCTCCTCCCCACCCCCCTTTCTCTAAACTCCATTATGTAGAAAACTTCAGATGCAGAGAAACCCCATTTCGTGTGTAATATTTGCAAGAAAATAGTACAGGAGGCAGAGAACCTGGTGGAGAACAATGTCACAGAAGTAAGAAAGATCGAATTAGTCTCTCATTATGTTGTGGAAAATGGTGATAGAGGGGAATTTCTTGAAGGGATCTACTATTCACTGAATTAATTTTCCAAGCCTTCACCACTGAGATTATGAGAAGTAGTGAAAACCAGAGCATGAAGTTTCTTGACTTCCTCATTTTGAGGAACCGAATCAAAATTTGATTTTTGTTTCTATGAGGCTTTCCATTTAGTTCAATCATAATATAGATTTAAGCTGGCTAGATGAAAACCGTTTCAGATCTAGGGAAAGTGCAGAACTTTATAGGAGATCACCAGAAAAGAAAGGATTTTAAAAAATACTCTCATATTTGTCATTCCTGCATCTGTCACCTTTCCCTCTGCTACTCAAGAATGACTGAAATGCCTTCACCTGGGGACATTATTTGAGTAATTAACTTCACTTCTTTCATTCCCGCTATCACTAGAGGAAAGAAGTAATGAATCTCTTCTCCCTCATTTGTACTGCCTGCAGATTAGATGTTTGATTTCTTTTTAATCTACTTTTTTTCCTGCCTTTATATTTCAGGAGCAAATAGTCCATCAGATGGTGGAGTTGTGTTATGTGTTGCCCCATGAAGTCTTTGACCAATGTAGGGACTTTGTGAATTCCTATGGAATGGCAGTTGTTATTATGCTCCTGGATGCCACTAAGCCTGAATCTGTGTGCATCATGATCAATTGTTGCCCCAAAGATATCTCTTTAAGCACGGGTAGGTTTTTATGCTTGTTCTTCATCTTCCACCTTCTGGTCTGGAATGAAATTAATTGCATTGGTCTAAACTCATATATTTATAGGTCTTGCAGCACATATCTGATTTTATATAATCTCAGAAAGCTAAGGAAGGTTGAATCATGTTAGTACATGGATGGGAGGCTATGAGGAAACATCTATCTGTAGAGTAGATTAGGAAGCTAAGAAAAAAAGCATTCTGGAAGTAGGTATATCATGCTATTTCAGTATTGTTGCCAAGTGTACAGACATACCTATGAAGTCACCAAGAATCAAACTTGACTTGAAGGAGATTTCATCTTTCTAATGGACTTTTCATGCTAAATAGACTCCCAGAAGATTAATAATAAAACATAATCAGCAAGCTCAATCTTTACAGGAGATGCTCCTAGCTTTTCAGATCTTCCTGAAGGTGATATCCCACTTTTCCCTGAACACTTGGCTGGTGCCTATTAGCTTGTCTTTAAGCCAAGGGAGAGCAACCCATGAGCTCCATGTGCTCTCTGCCCCCCCCCCCAACTTCATTTGCAGCTCTTGAGCAACTCTAGATTGTGCTGCTGAAATTTGTTGGCAAAATGACCCAATTTCTGCAACATAGATTTTTGTCCATTTTAAAAAAAAACAAAATGTAGAAAATAGAATTGAAAAATATTTAGAAGGAGACTTAACAGTAAAGCCACACACCAAATTAGAGGTTTCTGGCTTTTAGGGGGGAATTTGATGGGGTAAGGTACGGATGGGAGTATATGCCTTCCAGAAATCCTTTGCTTCAATTCCCAAATTAAAATGATAAAAATGGGCCAAAGAAACTAGAAGCTGTTCCTTTTGGTGATCAGGATATTAAATTGTAGCCTTTGTGTCTTTAAACATCGCTTAATCCTGTACTAAGCATTAGATACAGATTCCTCAAAATAGATGATGCATTTAGGCTTTTTTATATTCTATTCTGAATTCCTACCTTTAAAATTGCTTCATTGCAACCGATTCTCATTTTGCTTTGTTTATTAGCTTCTGTGTTTCGTTTAGAGTTTTTTTTTCTGAGCTTCATTAGAAAAGTTTAACCTGAGAAATGACTTAAAATATTTTAACTGTTATAAACACATATGTACAAGAACTAACATGAACTCCAGGCTGTATAATCTAACGTTTTTGTTGTTGTTATTGTTTAGAGAAAGTAGCTCTTGAGAAAGTATCAGAAGACAAGGGAAATGAAATATGCCAAGTGTGTATAATGCTAGTTACATATCTTGATGATGAACTGGAGAAGAATGAAACACAGATACAAATTGGAACTATGCTTTCTAAGGGTTGCCATTTACTCCCAGAAGCTTTGAAATATCCAGTAAGTGACACTGTAGATAAACTATCTTGAGTTTTCTAAGGAATTAGGATGCTATGGAGGAGGAGTAAAGAAAGGAACTGGAGAACCCTTGTTTATCTCTCTCCCCCATCTTGTTAGGCTTGATAGAAAAAGAGGAGGGTTTCCTAAATTATCCTTATTATGAATTATGGGTAAAGCCACTACAATCTCCCTTGAGAGTTACAAACAATTTTCCCCAGCAAATAAAATGTTTGAGGGTTGCAAGTGGTTGGAACATTCTATTTTGGAAATACTGGAAAGACTTTTGAGATGACAAAAGAAATATTTTGAGGTTCCAGATCATGAGGAGAGCAACGCGAGTTTGGGCAACACCAGTGAACTTCTTTGGGGGTTGGAGTGAGGAAATATCTCCAGACCAACTCTCTCCTTCCTGTAGTCCTTCAGTTGGGTTGGATGTCAACATATTGGGGATGAACTGGAATATACCAGATTGAGGAAGGTTGCCCTACTTGCCATGATTTAGCTTAATTTGTTTAATTGATGAGAGAAAAGGTTTAGTTGATTTGAAGCTGGAGGACCCTACCAGCCACTTGCCTTAGTTTTACCTCCTTTTGCTTTATTACAGTGTGATCAACTGGTGGACCAATATGAATCAGCTGCTGTCCGTCTCCTGATACAGGTCCTGGAACCAACATTTGTGTGTGGTGTAAGTCCTGTTGTAAAACTTGTTTATATTCAAGGGATGAGCCATTTAGATCCTAATCATATCAACCTTTTCTCAGGAATAAGTGCAAGCAAACTCTTAGTTTCACAACACTTATGTAACTTGCCAGTCCTGTGAAGACAATTAGTCAATTTTGGAGGCCACCTGACTCAGAAACGAATCTGGGCAGCTAAATCAAAAGTAGGAAACCATGAAAGAAAACAGTAATAAAGAAAACCCAATGCATCCAAATACCTCCCCCCCCATCCCCAATATACAGTACAGGCTGAATGTGAAGTAGAGGGAGAGGAAACAGGAAAGTGGGTGTAGAACGGGATTACGGGGATGCAGATCCCCCTGCAACTGATCACTTGGATCTCTAACAAGAACAATCTGCCCTTCCCTGAATTCTCTGTAGGCAGAGAGCATCCAAGAGGAGGTTGCTCTGTCCTTTGGACTGTGAGATTCCAGTCCATGCAGCCTTCATCAACTGCAACATATTCCTTCTTTTTT